TACCTATTGAAAAACTTTACAAAAACTGCACTTTTATTCCTTGAAAGGATACTGCAGGCTCTTTCCACTTACTTAAATTCCTGTCTTTGCAACTTCAATAGAATTAAATATTTATGTGAGGTGCCCAATTCCATTTGATGAGAATTACGGCTCCACATTATAATCCTCAGCTGTAATATTCTAAAATGGGATTTGTGTGTGTAAATGAATTGAAGTTAGAGCCAAGATCCCACAGCCTTCCTTATTTCTAAGAATGCCAGCACATAAAAGAAATATAATAGCTTTTTTTTTTAAAACACTGTGTTTGGGGATTAAACAGAAGGCCAGGTGCATAACTCCATGGCACACCCGACCGAAAGATTGTGTCATTTTAAAAACTTGTTCATGCTTGGATTTTAGCATAGAGGAATCTGTATTCTCCTGATTAAAAGGGGTATTTGGCATTTAGAATAGAATAACAGAGTTGGAAGGGATCTTGGAGGTCTTCTAGTCCAACCCCTGCTTAGGCAGGAAACCCTACACCACTTCAGACAAATGGATTCCGCATTTGATGCGGAAATGTCTAAATTAAGCCCTGGGGATCACCAGGCCATTAAATCTTGATTGCTCTGGAGCTCCAGTGATGGATGGCTCTGGTGGCAGCTTCTGTTCCACCAGTTAATTGTTCTCACTATCAAGAAATTTCTCCTTAGTTCTAGTTGCTTCTCTCCTTGATTAGTTCCCATCCATTGCTTCTTGTTCTGCCTTCAGGTGCTTTGGAGAATAGCTTGACTCCCTCTTCCTTGTGGCAGCCCCACAAATATTGGAAGACTGCCCTCATGTCACCCCTAATCCAAAAAAGCCACACACAACAATTAGGTTTTATTAAATGCATAGAGTGAACCCGTCTTTTTTAGCCACCTTAAGAGGGATGGACTTCAACTCCCAGAATTCCCCAGAATGTAACCGTTTTTAAAACTCTTGTGCAACATTGACGTCATCTTAGCTCCAGTATTACATTTAAACCTGACCACCAAGATTTTCCTACTATGATGCCAAAATAAAAAAGTGACATCATTGGTGGCGTAATGGGATTTTTCTTCCATTGGGGACATTGCACAACATTTCAAATTTGGGGTTTTTTATTTTTTAAGTGTTGAAACCCGGGAAAAGGATTTGAAGGTTGCCAAAAAGGAAGCCGATAACCCTTCCCAGCAAGAGAAACGAGCAGCCAAAAAATACCAAACCCCCCCCCCCAACTCTTTTCAGGATTCATAATCCATGAAGGTCTTAAAAGCAGACAGCTTTTTTCTGTGTGTGCTAACCATCTTCCCGGTTTGTTCGCATTTTCAAAATAGTTTTGTTTTGCAAATTTGATTTTTTGGGCCATCTCCCTCTTGTGTCACCAAATTTAATTTGTGTTTGATTAGTTCTTTTTTCTCCTTTATTTTTGATTCTTGTGGGGGGTTCTTTGCAGCTCCATTTCCAATTCTTTAAAGTTCTTTCTCTAATGGTTCTTGTTTATGTCTCTTTTCCTAGTTTTTCCTTGCCAAATATGCTATTGCCAACCCTCTCGTAAAAGCTTTTGTAGTATCCCATAAATTTTGTAAGGATGCTCCTTCTTTCTTATTTACTTCTTAGAAAAGTTTCAATTCTCTTTCTATCATTTTTAAATATTATTTATCTTTCACTATCCTTTGATTCATTGACCAGCTCTTTTTCTTTTTTGGCCCTTTCCATGTTATTTTTATTGGGTTGTGATCCGCCCAGATGTTTGTCATTATTTCAATCTGTTCTGTGTCTCTTCCCAATTCTTGGGTTGACCAAATCATATCTATCCTTGACCATGATTTGTGGGGGGTTTGAATAATATGTAAATTGTTTGTTTCCTATATTCCTTTCTCTCCATACAGGGCGAGGCATAACCTTTTCCTAGGGGGTCACAGCAACACTTGTAATAACAA